TTCTAATGAAGAAGAACCTACACTAGCACTCTAGGTAGCTGGTTGTATCACTAAAGGTAAAGGGTTACCCATGGATATGTTTTCTGTTGGTGATATTTCCCTCAAGCACACAGACACACATGCCTTTTTAAAAGAGATGAACACTCACTTTGTTCCTCATCTCCGCTCTCCTGGGCTGCTTAATCCCAGGCAGTGGTTGTTATTCCTGAACTACAACAGTATTCATTTCAAACCATAAGCCTATCTAAGCTTCCTGGAAGCCTCTCTGTGGAACTCTTCCAGCAAACTCTACTTTTGTTCCACGAAGCCAGGAAGGTAGTCGTAGACCACAGCAAGCAGCTGTATCAGGTTCCATCTTTCGCCAAAACGTTTTACAGAGCTGCTCCTTTTCCAAATGGCAAGCCATCAAGCAGCATACTTGGAGCTCAAGAGAGCTCATGTGTTGGGAACAGCCTGTCAAGATCCAGTTTCCGAGCTTCCGGCATCCAGGTCTGTTGTGGAGCATCATCAACATCCTACCTGGACAGGTGAGGCCGTGATGGCCAGAAAGGTTCCAGGGTTATTTGTGCAGCTACAGGATGAGGCAAAGGTACCTTGAGGCCAATGGCTCTGGGTTTTTGCCGCCAAATGCAGGCAATGAAAATACAGAGGGGCCTGCAGATTCAGCACCAGGACAGCTGAACTTCCTGTGGGTACACAAAATGCCTGAGTGCCAGCCAATACTTTGGAAGCAGCATTGATGCCATTTCTTACAACAAGCCAGCTTCTCGCACCATGCTGGACTATGAGCCTGCCTTTAAAGTGTAGGCTTGGTGTAAAGTGTAATACTATGGATAGTTTAAAACACAACTAAATTTTTTGTACACTTTAAAATACAATTAAACTACAATGTTTAATTTTTGTATGTTTATTTTATTTTTTAGCTGTCTTGTTCTTTTTTAAATCGTAAGCCACCTTGAGTACCAATTTCAGAGAAAGGCAGAGTAAAAATATATATATGGTGGTGGTGGTGGCGATAATGATGATGTTTTGGAGTCCTACATTGTGCTCTCTGGAGCACTTGGCCTCTACAGAGCATGGGTGCGGTGCGGATGTAACTTCAAGGTGAGAGCAAAAAGATTCTTCCATCTTAGCCTCCATGTACCTCCCTGGCTCTGCCTCCCTCTCCTCACAGCAGGACTGGTACCCTAGTTGCCATGGTGAAATCTATGAGACCTTTATTGGGCTTTCCCCATGTATTTCCTTCCTTGCTGGCACTGACTCCAAGTGTCCAGGTGTTTAAGAAGGAAAACAGGTAATGACTGTTAGAATGCTATCTTTAAAAATAATCACCATGAAATTTGGAAAATAAGGCTTTTAAAATAAGGTTGAGATGCTGTCATGGTATTAGAAAACTAGATTTTAAAGGGGTACCATGGAAGCGTGCCACCAGCCCTCAGTACCCTGCTTTGCACAAAAGCAGTTATCTGTTTGCAAAAGGAGCTGAGGGCTATCTGGAAGGAATCAGACCATGATTTACAGTTCAGGAGCTGGTGGACAGCACACAGCTGGATTCCAGTGGCCCCTGAGCTACTGCTCATAGAAAATATTTGGGTGGAGTGAAACTGGGAGACTGTCCTCTGAGACATCTGCAGCCAGCCCTCCAAAGTTATCTAAGTTCTGCTAAGCAGTGATTACGCTCGGTTACCCTGTGAAGGACACAGTGAGGCCACTTCTTTATAACACTTTGTTGAGCTGGGTTTCCCCTGTATCTTTTTCTCTTTCAACAAATCTTTGCTTGTTTGATTTGCCCTTGCAAAGATGTGTAAGCAGGGTCAGTTGTCCTGTTTGTAAGCAGTAAGGCTTTGATTCCTTCAGAGTAAAAACAAAGATTCTGAAAGCGAAACAACCCATTCAGTCTGAAAAGCAGAACCTCCTGTGGCACACACAGACACACAAGGTTTCCCTGGACATTACAAAAAAGATTGCAACCACTGAAGACAACCAAGTACCTACCACCTGTCAGTGGAAAATCTGTTGCGATTTGTCAACGTCAATAATGATGATGCACCTATTGTTTTGTGTGTTTTGTATTGTTTAGAAACTAAATACTCTGAAGGCACCAGCTCCCATCTGATCTTGGAAACCAAGCAGGGCCAGGTCTGCTTAATAACTGAATGGGGGACCACCAGGAATGATCTAAAACTGTGGGTTATGTTTCAAAGGAAGACAATGGCAAAGCCCTTTTGAGTATTCCTTACCAAAGAATACCCTGTAAAATTCACAATACTGCCATGTTGATAGGCGACTCAAAAGTACATACAGATATTCACACACAGTAGAAATCAACAGTTAAATAGGTATTTTATACATATAGCTCTTGAGTTAACCTCAGTGATGAAGTCACCCATGGTAAAATCTCCCTTGTTGCAGACATTTAAACAGGGACTGCATGTCCTGTTCTGTGCTTGTGTGAGACAGAACCTTGCCTATGGAAGAAAGGGATTAGTCACTAACTCTGTTTAGTTTAATTCATGACTACCCCAATCTTGGGGGTGAACTTCAAGAGGAGAGCTACCATGAGCCCTCGAAGCAGCTGCAGCATCCTTCTTGGCTCCTCCAGCAGAAACGCTGCACACCAAACCTCTGCCACCCTCAACATAACAGAACCAGAAAGCAAGAACTGCCTTGCAGAAGTGCATTCCGTGGCTTTTACTAATAATCTTGGAAAGAGAAGGACACGCTTTCCTGGCAAAGTGCCTCTTCCCAAATTCAAGAAGGGAACGTTTGTGTAAGTGAGGGCTTTGTAAGAAGTTGCAAGGAGGATGAGGAACCAATCCCGTATCTGCCAGATCTCCCCTGCAAGTACCCCATGCAGCCTGGGCTTACTTCCCAACATTGAAGCATGGCTGGGGAAAAGATGTAGCAGCAACCAGAAGAGGAGCTGATGGGGGAAATTAAGCAACGCCATCAGCCATGCCGGGAACTACATATGAGACAGAACACAAGGTGGGGAATCCTGCATGCGTGATTCGTTATGGCCTTCTCCTTCCTCACAACAGAAGCTCCTCAAGTTGCTGGGAGTCTTAAATCTCCCACTACTGTGCAAGGCTGAGCCCTCTCTGCCTGTCCCAAGGCAATACCACAGAGCAACCGACTCGCTTGCCTTTGCCTCCATTCAGGCCAGAGGTTTACAAGGTAAGCTTTCAAGCACTGGCAGGGCACTTATGGACTCAGCATTATTGGGCTGGCTCTACTGGTTTATCCTCTCCATGCAGCCGAAGCACAGAGATCTGTGGGATTTTGCAAGAACAGAGGGCTCCTCTGGCTGTTATCACAAGGGCTGCGACGTGCCCAGGAAAGGAGCATTTTGTGCCGATTTCACAAGCACTTTGGAATGGC